TTCTTCATATTATGAACTCATGTCTGGAAATGTTGATGATGTTTTATCTCTTTCTGCGATAAAGTCAAGCAAAAGGTTGAATAAGTTCTTCAGACTATGAACTTCTTCTTCTTCTTCAGATGAGTTCTTCAGATTATGAACTCATTTTTTCTCTTCATATGAGTTCTTCAGACTATGAACTCCTTCTTCCTCTTCAGACTATGAACTCCTTCTTCCTCTTCAAACGAGTTCTTCAGACTATGAACTCCTTCTTTCTCTTCAGACGAGTTCTTCAGATTATGAACTCCTTCTCGCTCTTTGTGAACTTTATCACATGTCTCACTTTAAGAACTTGGTATTTTAACCAAATGCGTACAAAATGACGCAACTTGGTATTTTTTTTTTCTCGCAACAACTATTTGATCCCACCCCGAAAATGACCTCTAACTCCATTTTCAGAGCATTTACCAAGGATAGGTTTGATACATGTTTTTCAAGAGACCATATTTGGTTGAGTACCTTGAGCAACTCCGCTGATGTCTTAAAGCTATAACTTGATCTTACATCGGTAATGTCGAACTGTGCTTCCTTAAGCTATAGACACTTGTTTTCATCTGGTTTTTAATTTGAACTTTTATTCAAATTTTCTAGATTATCTGATTTCATCATTTAATTATTTTCTTTAATTGGTTTCTTTAATCAATTTGCATTACATTTAAATGTATCTTAATATTAATATATATTAAATAAATAAATTAGATTATATTAAATTATTAAATACATATTAAAATATTAAAATAAATATTAATTTTCATTTTGTTAGATGGCAGGTCCAAAAATAACATATTACAGCCCATATTACAAGACCCAGCAACCAAGGCCGACATGAAGATCCAACTCAACTAGGGTTTCCTCATGTTGCTCCAGCCACCGCCGCCGTTTTGTGATAATATAGGCTGGGTATTGCTTCTTCTTCTTCTTCTTTTGTCAATGGGCTAATTGCATGGGGGCCTTTGTTTTGAGCCTTTTATTTTCCTCGTATTATATTGTAGTCCTTTATGCATGCTTGCCTTTGTTTTATGTTTCTTGTACATGTAGCATCCCATTTTTATATCATTCATTTTAGTACTAAAAATCAATATACTCGTAATTACTAGTATTTAGATTCGAGCCTGTTAGTTTTAAATATTTTATTTTAGTTCCGAACTATTAAGAAGCCTATTTTCATGTTCTCTATTAGGCCTATTAAATTCTAATTATTTTATTTTAGTCTCTAGCTAAGTTTCAATTTTGTTAGCATAGTGTTCTTTTTTTTTCAATTTGGTCACTGTTTATTATTATTATTATTAATAAGCATATATATATATTATTTTGTATGTGTTATGTGTATATGTGTATAGGTAAATATTTCTTTTATACCTTGTATTTATTTCTAACTTATATATATATGTCATATTGTTCGTATATATTATTTATATTTCTTTTATATTAAATGTTGATTTATAAATATTATGTATACATTTATATTAGATACGTTTTAATTATTATATATCAATTATATATTACATGTTTCATTCGAATATTTTTTATTATAAATAATAATATTGTTTTAATAAATGACGATAGCTTTTGTGAGGAAAATCTATGAAAACATCTTCCAACTATAAGGAAAGTGTGTGTTTAGGGTTTTCACACAAAAGTTCACATTTTTCTCGATTTATTTTTATAATATTATATTTCCATATTTTTAATATTAAGAAAAAAATCAAGGCAATATTCTTTTGTGAGGGAATTCATGGAAAAACCTCCCAATTAAGGGAAGTGTGTTTTCGAAGAATTGTTCGTACAAAGTTGTCACCATTTAATCGATTAACTTTATTTGATAATATAATATTACATTATTTTGAATAAAATTGAGACAATATTCTTTTGTGCGAGGAATCCATGAAAAAGTCTCCCGATTATATGGGAAATATATTTTCAAGGATTGTTCGTACGAAATGACACCCCTTTTAAATAATATTCATTTAAAAGTAAATAAATAAGTAAATATTTTAATCTTGAATTTATTATTTAATTCCTTAAATTCATTCATAATTCTAACTGTTGCATCCATTGCATTTATTATTTGTCATCATGTTTTAATTCTAACAAATTTTCAGGCAATTTTGTTTTAATTTGGAAAATCAATGAGATAGTGTCCCAACTAATAAGGATTGTGATCTTCGTGATTTTTTTAAATTAAAAGGACATCCTTTTCAAAATGAAATTGAGTGAATCGAGTCATTTTTTAAGTCAAAACCCTTTTAATTAATCTCCCTCCTTTCAAAATAAATTCGAATGAACATAAGAATCATAATTTAAATATATGCGAGTCTACAATTCCCAATATTTAGACAACGTGTAATCGCTTAGGTACTAAATTTGGGCGTTGTGAGGGTGCTCACACTTCCCACGCGTAATCGACTTCCGAACTCTTAAAAGTGAATTTTTTGTAAAACACATACCGGTTTTTACCTTTTAAATGATTTTTAAAAAAATCATTAAAAATAGTATTTTTAGGTATTCGACCTACCTAACTCAAATGTCAATGACGACTCCAAATCAAATTGCTTCAAAATCCAAAATTTACCCATTTTCTCAAATTAAAATTTTAAGTCTAATCGATACCTCCTTACATAAGCTGCTTGTACTTGCTGGCCGACATTATAGTCAAGGCAAATATCAATTCAAGGTTGTGCATCCATTCTTACCAAACAAAGGGAAACATGGTAGACATGAATAACCAGCTTTCCCTTATGTCGACAAGACAAATTTCAGAGAAGAGAAACCGATAATCGGTCTTCAACTAAATGGCAATGTTTGTAAATCAGACTAAAATAAGCAGAAGAATCACATAAAAATACAAAATCTAAGCAAATGAAGTCACTAATCAAGCTAGTACATAACTTGGAAGACAATATACAAAGACATGGATTTTCAGTTCAAACTATCCATAAATGAGCAGCAATGATGACTAAGGTATCTGGAAGTGAAACTTAAAAGAGAACAAATGAGGGGGGGGGGGGAAAGCAAGCATGATACCCTACACCAAACGTCCCACACCCACACCCACACCCACACAAGCAACAGGAAAATCCAGACATGAGACAACTAAGAATCTCGACAATTAGTGTAGGCAAAATTTCCACATTCACAATAAAGAACAAGCAAAAGAAAGAAAAAAAGAAAATAATTAAGACAAAAGAAGAAGAAGAAGAAGAAAAAGAGTCAAATGTGCTGAGTCAGTTGGTTTAACATGTCACGTCAGGATTATGTTACTGCAGTAACGACTGTTAACGGTGAGTGTCCGATTTGTTATAAATCAATAACGTTAGTGGCCATTGTTACTTATGAAATTTAGTGGAAAAACGAAAACTTACTCAAACATTAGTTACTATTTGTGTAGTTTATCCTAGAAATAATACAAAGAATACCAAAAAGATATAGAATGACTAGCATGTATAGTATAGGTAATGTATTTAAGTATCCGGAAGAAAAAAATTGAATTTGAAGATGGGTATTGATCCATCCTCGCGTCTTAATGGATCTGCTATTATATATATGTATGCTTGTTACATTGTTGGGCAATCTGGTCTTATGTTGGCTTAAACAACCTCTTGTTAAGAATTTTAACTTAGATACTAGTATCGATCCACATAAAAAATGTACATAAAAATTATAAGGTTACAAATAAAAAAGATTACAAAATATAAATAAACAATGCCAAATGTAAGATGCTGAGGTTTCAAGAATCTATTATTGGTATCAAATTTTGATTCATTTTATTACTCGATTGAAGTCCAAGAATCAAAATCCAAAGTTCATCGAACAATATTTAAAGTACATTGTCCACAATCAGGTCCAAAGTTTACTAAACAATGTTCACAATCCAAAGTTCAACAAACAATGTTTAACACATGTATTCTTATAAGTCTTTCAAATATATATTACTTTGTAATTATCTTAAATAATAAAAAAACGAAAATATAAAATATAATTTATATGAATGTAAACATATTTTAATTTTAAGTTGATAATTTCAAACTAACCTTAATATGTATAAAGAGCTTCGTTTTGCTTCGATGATATGAACTTATAAGGACATAATAAACATAAAGACAAAAAAATTAAAATTACAAAACGTAAAAAAAAAAAATAAGGGTAAGGTATACAAATGTTTTTCGACTATTGGGTGTTGCTTTATTGAGTCTACTGACTATTAAAAGTTATAAAATGATCATTCGATTATAAGACATTATTTTGTTGAGTCCTCAACTATTAAAAGTTACAAAATGGTCACTCAACTATTTATATGTTCCAAAAGCATCATTTTTCGTTAAATAATAGGCACTCGTTTGAACTTGATGTTAACATGTTGACTAAAGTATGATATAATGTAAATAGAAATGATGATATCATACCTTAGTCCCCGACTATTAAAAGTTAAAAAATAGTCACCGACTCACCAACATAATGTTTTAAGCAATGACTCAATGACATAATGTAAACATAAATTCGATCCACAAAATACAACTAAAATGATTATGAGATCAAATTTTATTATATCTTAGTCAAAAGGTTAACGTCCATCTCAGACGACCATCAACTTTTTAAAGAGAAAGAACGAGTTTAGAACATATGAATAGTTGGTTGACCATTTTATAACTTTAAATAGATGACTCAACAAAATAGAGCCTTATAATTGGGGATCATTTTGTAACTTTTAATAGTCAAATGACTTAATAAAGTAATACCCAATATTCAAGGACCATTTGTAAACCAAAAAATAAAGAACGCAGAGAATAAAAGAAAATTACAAAGCAAATAGGAAATCAGTTCATAGCAGCATAGCTTTTTGGCACTGCTCGAGTTCTTGTTACATGACTGTTGGTTAACCTTTGTAGTTCTCCTTCTACAGGTTACCATTCATTCATACATGACCATTGCAGTTCCACAACAGCAAACTATTCCACAATTAGACGACAACCGGCTATCGATTTTCGGATTTTAACTATCGGAGGCCAGTTTTCGAAGATCAAAAAGTGCATGTTTCTTCATGTGTGTGTTGAGGGTAACCTTGAATGGTTATGCTCGCCTTCGTACGTGACGATCAACATCGAAGAGTTTTCGAGGCATCTCTCAACATGCTTCCTTGCCGGGCAGCCTCTCACACTGCTGCACTTATAGTATCCCCTGCATTATAAAAGCTTGTTCGTTAACGGAGTTATTTCGATGGCAGATTAAGAGACGACATAGCCGAAACTCGAAACTAGTTGCCATGACATCAAGTTGAAGGATTGAGGAGGGTTACCTAGGGTGTGGAGAACCCTTAATTGGCTTTTGGCCATATTTCCTCCATGAATATTCATCAGGAGGAATATCAGCAACTTTGTTACTAATAGCAGGGACTCTAACGGATCTCTTAATCCTCAGTTTCCTACAAACAAGAAGCAGAAATAATAAGCAGTTAGAGTTAACAAACAACACTTAGTTAATCTCAAACACATGGGATTAGAGATCAAAATCTGACCTCCTCTTTGAACAATGACATTTACCACTGGTACCACATTTCATACTCCCATCTTGTCCCTTACCTGAACACTTCCTCCTAGATTGTTGAGAGATTCGATCGAAATGGAGCGGCATACCGACTAAACGGAACGAATTCGCAACACTACCATCCAAACTCAAAGATGACACAAATGATCTGGTTGATGACATGGTTGGTGTGCAATTAGATCCATCAAATTCAAGGTTTATGCCACTGTTACTCTTGTCAAACACCATACGATCTGCATGATATTTCATTTGCTGTTGTTGCTGAAATTGCAGGCTTTGCATCTGCTGCTGCTGATGGTGGTGGACAAAGCTGAAATCTTGTGAAGGGTTCTGATCAAAGAACACCTTGTTGGTCATCTGCAAGTGCTTTCTGGGATCAAACAGGTTTGAAGGGTATACTTGAAGGGGTTTCGGTGATAAAATTGTCCTGCAAATGGGACTTTCCAGGAAAATTTTCTGGGGAAAACTCGATCCAAACATCTTAGACTTTCTTATTCTTGAGTGACTTAAATCATTGTTGAGAAGGGACACTACCTTTTTGAACTTAAACACAGCTTCACCAGTTTCCACCATTAAGTTGCTGTACGGAACTTGATCCTTTGGCAAAGAGAACAGAGTAAGAACTCTATTACAGCTCTCGATGGCTTCCTTGTTTGCTTCTTCAACCTTCTCCATGCTCAAACCAAGATTTCTAAAGTAACTTAAAACCCAGATGAACAAAACTAGAGCTTTACACAAGGGCCATTGATACCCAAGATCAAAGCTTTATCAAAGGATGGAGATTTGTTAAAATCACTATAAAGAAAACAAAGCTCGTCTTTTTTGATTCAGCTAAGAAAAATGAAAAACTCAAAGCCCAAAAAAACTCACTGTTTTTCCTGTGGATTTTCAGAGGGAAAACATTAAAGAAGGTAGAAGAACTGAAGTCTCTGTCCAAAAACTGAAGCAATATTAAAAGGCCACGAGTACAGAGAATGTTGACTCGGCAGGGAATTATTGTCTGTTAGTGCGTAATGTGGGATCCATTATGAAGACCTAGTTGACTGACAGAGATTCTCTTTGTCTTTCTTTTTGTTGGATTTGTTACTAAAACTATATTATTTTTAGATTATCTCATTTGATTTTTGTTATCGATTTGAATTTACTAAGTTGTTTCAATTGTAAAATGATATTAATTTTTAGAGATTTTACAGTTATATTTATAAAATATATACATTATCAAATTAAAAATTTTATAAACATATATTACATTTTAATTGTATAATAAATATGTATTAGATAATAGTTCGATGGGACAAAATAATATTGTCTTGCAATCATCTTTGCTAATTTTTTTTATATATTTGTGTCGCGATGAATTATAGATATAAAATTTAAAATCCATCGTGACTTATTTTATATAATATATTTATAAGCAGATCCGTCAAAAAATAAGTAAATCTTGTGCTACTTCTTAAAATAAGGCTCTTAAATTATTTTATAATAAAGATTAATTTGTCAGATTTTAAATTATGAGGAATCTTTAAGGTCATTTTACAAAAAATATATTATGAAAAAACGATTAAAGATAATGTCAAAACCTTATTTTGCAACTTTCTCTGTCACTTTCTTGAGAACCAAACCAAATTTTTTTAGAGAAAATAACCTCAGTGACCAAAAATCCCATATAATATACGATTTTAACCAGCTTTTTCCGGATTTGCCAAAATGACCAACAAAATCGCAATGCGATCGCTAATTCGCAACGTGATCTCCATTATCGCAAATTCGCGTTGCATTTCGCGTTGCGATAGTTGGAAATCGCGTTGCGATGATATACAGTGTCGTTGCGATTTTCCCAATTCGCAATGCGAATAAGTAAATCGCAACGCGAATTGGAAAAATCGCAATGCGATACTGACTATCGCAATGCGATACTTACTATCGCAATGCGATAATACAAAATCGCAACGAGATATTGACTTTCACAACGCGATTCTGACTTTCGCAACGCGATTTACATAGCGCCATTCGTATTAACGCGTATTTTTTTTTTCAAATTCCAAACACGAATTTTTTCTTAATAAATCGGAAACTGAACCGTCCACAGTAATCACAACTCATAACCTCAAACCCAAAATCACAACACTCAGTCCCATCTCCATCTCTCACTCTCTACGGCAAAATCCGTCCCCATCTCCGAAGATTTCCGTCCCCATCGCCGGCGAAATCCCTCACAACCATTCACAGTCAAAAATCCCTCACAATCATTCAGAAATGGAAAATCAACCTCCGAGGGTTAGTTTTTTTATTTTTATTTTGAATTTTTTGCATTATTTTAGGTTTTTCATATTGAGATTGATGATAAGTTTACTGGTAATTTCAATAATAGATTAACCATTTCACTTAGATTTCTTATTAAATTCATTCGATTGCTGCCAATACTGCTAAACTGTTTAGCCTGTGAAGTTAGTATTTGTCTTTGTTTTGTCTTTTGGTTGAAGTGATGCAGAAGAAGAATAGTTTCGAGAATGAAAATCGCAACGCGGAAATAACTATCGCAACGAGAGAATCGCAACGCGAAATAAAAAACGCAACGCGAAACAAAAATCGCATTGCGATTTTCATTTCGCGTTGCGATTTTTATTTCGCGGTTGCGATTTTCATTTCGCGTTGCGATTGTCTGGTCGTGATAGTCATTTCGCGTTGCGATTCTCTCGTTGCGATAGTCATTTCCGCGTTGCGATTCTCATTATCTCGTTGCGATTTTCATTTCAACCAAAAGATAAAAACAGTGTTGCAAATTTTAGTTTCAAGAATAAACTACTATTTATGTTTATTGTTTTGTTTTTGGTATATCTTGACAGTGTAGTTTTTGGTATCTAACTTGGTATGTTTATTGTTTTTTTGTAGAAATTTTTTTCGGCTTCATTGACATTAAGGAATAAAGTTAGCCTAGCCACTACAATTGCTTCGAAGCTTTCACCTGCACAAAGAAAATGTTTGAAGAAACCTGCTTCGGGCCATGGCTGAGAGTACAGCATCCGGGTGGAGATGCTAGTTTGACCCATTTGTGGCTTCAGACCATGACTAGCGATCTACCCGACAGTATACAACGTGGTGAGGAAGAGATATGGTTTCATTTTCCACCGGCGTATACTTGTTTTGGGCGGAAGGAGTTCTGCTTAATCACTGGTCTACGATTCGGACACGATGATGTAGGCCGGTACACTCGTCATATCACCCGCCCATCATGGTTATCCAGGGTTTTTCCTGATGAGTCAATAGAGAAGCCGAACTTACACGTCGACGACATGAAGAAATTGTTTAATAAGAAAGATGGTTTTACTCGGATGAATGACGTCGATGTTGTCCGAGTATGCCTTCTACTACTTTGTATGCCGGCTTTTTAGGCAGAGAGGCCAGACAACATATTCCTCAGGAGCTAATATTATTGGTAGAGGACCTAAATGCATGGAATCTGTTTCCGTGGGGTTCGTATATATGGAAAGCTACCTGGACTAAGTTGTCGTCTGCCTTTGATGACCGCAAAAGTTTGCGGGGCGATGGGTCGAAATACACTTTGTCAGGCTTTGTTTGGGCCTTTAAGGTAAGAATTTCTATATAATGTTTTCAAAATTATAATTAATTATTTAACAATTACTAATGTTTGTTATTATATTGTTTGTAGATTTGGATATTCGAGGCCTTTCCCGCCATGAAGACATATGCAATAAAAACTTCAAATGATATTCCCAGGGCTATTTTCTGGAAGAGGAAGCGTCTGTTGGATTGGGAAGACTTAATACCATATGCGACAATAAATAATGTAAGTTAACACAAATACTATCATATATAAACAAGTTATTAATAGTAGACGTTTAACTTTGTTTGAGTTTTTATATTTTTAGGAGGCCAACATTCCATTAATGAGACTGACACCCACGGAGGCTGAGCTTGCCACTGATTGGTGGCAAGCTAGTCAGCGTTTTCTTGATGGCACGAATGATGAACAGCCTCCACTTCCTCCACTTCGAGAGCCATCACCTCACCCAGAGCCATCACCTGATCGACCCGACTATACACCTCTACAACGAGAGCCATCACCTATCCCGTCACATCATCGAGCCTCTTCTCAACCATCACCTCATGATAGGCGACCGGCAAAGATGCCACGACTTCTATCTCCCTATTCTCCACCTCCACGGGATGAGTCAAGGGAGTTACGTGATGAGGTCAATGCCTTGCGTGAGGAGATCGGTACTATACTTGATAACGATGGTGCATGGCGTGTGGAGGTGTCTACTTTACGTGGTGAGGTTGCCGCTCTACGTGAGATGGTAGTATCGTTGCAGAATGAGGTTCATACTCTACGCAACGAGGTAAGTTTAAGATTTTCCATATTTAACTTGATGATAAATTTACTCGTAATTTCACTTAAATTAACCATTTCACTTAGATTGCTTAGTAAATTTATTCGGTTGCTGCCAAAAACTGCTAACTTTTTACTTTAACACTGTGAAGTTAGTATTTGTCTTTGTTTTGTCTTTTGGTTAAAAGTTTGAAATATATTTATCTTTGTTTTCACTGTTTAAATATCATGTCTGTTTATTTACTGATATTTGTATTTAATTATTTAGCGGACCGATAAGGTGGATGCTTTACGTCGGGTTTTTCTTGCACGACAGAGTTCACGCATCAGACGGCGTGCACGTGCTATTAAGTCTCCGTATACCCCAATAGTGCGAAGATACCGCAAGAAGAAGCCCGACTCGCCTGTCATCCCTCAAGAGTCAACTCCTATCGTTGAAGAGGCCCCTATCATTCCTCGAGAGTCCCCTCCCACCGTTCAAGAGGCCACTGTCATCGTTGAAGAGGTCCCTCCCACCATTCAAGAGCCCGATTCACATGGCGTCATATGTAGGATTCTTGAGAAACCCTCTGACGTGCCGGACATGATGGATTCAAGTTGGATCTCGTATGAGTTACCGGCCAGTACCATACCGGTATCTGAATAGGAGAGGAAACAACTACCGGACACAATTCTGGATAACACCCTTTGGGCTAAGACCGCAGTTGATTTTTATCTACATGAGCGAAGCCAGGGGTGTTTCACTGACATATGCAAGCTCAATGATGATATCTATTTGTTGCTTGATCGGTCTTGGTGGGGCGTATTATTAGGGGTCGAAGACAATGGCTATTTCGATGGAGGGGTAAGTCTTATATTTTTCTTATATTTTCATTTGATTATTTTTTTGTAAATTTATGTAAGTTACTAATATATGTCTTTTTTTGTAAAACATCATATCGATGCGTGGGTGTCACGTCTTCTAATAATTAGGAAACTTAAGGAAAATAAAAGAAATACACGATATACAATTATGCCGACGTCTTTTAACGCCGTTCACTTGAAGAATCAACGAGATGAATCATTTGCGTTGGGCAATGGACAAGCTAAACTTTATCCTGCATGGTGGGAGGTCGATAAGGTTAGTGTTTATTTTAGATTGAGTTTAAAGGTATTCATAAATAAGTGCGCAAATGAATGAATTATTACTTATGATTGCAGGTGTTTATCCCTGTTTTGGAACGTAACCATTGGCTTCTCGTCGAGCTTCAGATCTCATCCCTTAAGGCAATAGTATATGACAGCATGATAAATTACATATCATTGGCTGATTTAAGAGATATTATTAAGGGATGGAGCTCTTATTTGGCTAAATTCTTGGATGCGATAAATTATTGGACTCGTTATGGAAACAAGAAGCCAAAGAAGCTCAATATTACAGTTAGCAGAGACGAGACCGCACCACAACAAACGAAAGGACCCAGAGGGGATTGTGGTCCTCTCGTATGCTTGGCGTTGGACCGTTTGATCACAGGAAGTATAAAGTATCTACCTCCCACCGATATAGATAGAGCT